AAAAAAAAAAAAAAAAAAAAAAAAAAAAAAAAAAAAAAAAACAGACTTCTAAAGAGAAGTTGGAGCCTGACATGCTAAATGTCCCATCCAAATAGCTCTGCATGGTTCTCCTGTAATCTCATGCACTTGGGAGTGCTCTGACAAGGGCATCCCAAACTGATTTGCAAATGGGTAGGGAGTCTGGGGAATTCATACAGCAAGCTGCCTCAGCCTTGTAATCAGTGCGTGCATGTTTGGAGGAAAACATTAAGGCTTGCCTTACTGAAACCAATCAATCAATCAGTCAGTCTCTCTCTCTCTCTCTCTCTCTCTCTCTCTCGCTCTCTCTCTCACACACACACACACTCACACACACACACACACACACACACACACACAGACCTCTCACATTATGAAGTATAAAAAAGACAAACATCCATTAAGCTCTCAGTGACAGCATTCTGGAAGCTAATCTAAAGTGTGGACTGTAGGGGGCAAACGCTACCTCAGGCTCTCAGCTGCAGCCTTCTCAGCCAGGAATTTACAAGCAGCTACTTCAAAGCTGGGTAAGCAGAGGCCGACCCCCCCCCCCCCCCCCCCCCCCCCCCCTTTGTCACTTCCAGACCTGAAGTCAAAATGGATCAAAGGAGAACTTTGAGAAATGATGGCTTTTTCTCTGGTATGTTGTGAAGTTACAGGAGATAATTTTTGATGGACATTTATTTTTCTAATCTCATGGACAGAAATTAAAACACACACAGCCCTTCCCGATCTTGAAATACTTACTTTGTTGAGTTTTCTATAGTTTATCTACTAAAAATATTTATATTTTTATAATTGCCATTCTGTTTAAGATATACTATAATTTTAATAACTGTAGGAAGAACAGAATTAAAATGCAAAATACAGTTTTGTGTGCTCTTAACAACCTCATGTTCTTCCATTGATTTCACAAACACACGCACTTTGACATGCTCAGGCTACACAGCACACATTATAAATCTTGGCATTGAACTTAGGTGCTCTTTTAGATAACTGAGGCGGCTAAGAATTTAGATATGATGAAAGATGTGAGCAGTTGCTGGAAGAGAGCCTTATGAAACCACCATGCAGTCCCTGAAGCAATACCCTGGATGAGGGAAGCAATAAAAAATTGCTAGTTCTATTCAGTTTCTTGTCTATTAATATTTATTTATTGTGTGGCACTGGGGACCAAACCCAGGGCCTGTGTGTGTCGTTCAAACATGCTACAAGTGAGCTATGCACCCAACCCCATCTGTATTCTCAAGCCTTGTTTCTGTTGGAACTCTCAGAAACACTGCCATTTGGCACAGTGAAGTGTTGCTTTTGTTTGCTGTTAACTCTGATTGCCCGCATATGAGAATGGCTCTGTGGTGTCGGGCAGGTACAGTCATCAAGTTCTGAAAGTCACTATGGGAGAGTAGTTTAGAGATTTCTGAAGGATGGCTGAGCCATGCACCTGCAGGAAGGTATTGTTTGCCAGAGGACCCACCTGGAACTCAAGAGCACTGACCTTCACACTACACTGACAATATGCCATATGGAAAAAGAATGTACCTTCAGCCAGGAGTTTTTCCTCATTTTTAGACGCCCCATCCACATGTCTGTCAGCAGCATTTGGGTACAAGAATGTGACACAAAAGGACGCAGTCCTCCAGACACGGCCAGTTTCAAGCAGGTGGAATTGCTCCAGTTCTTGAGTTCATAGGTCAGCAGTTTCATGGCCATTGGCTCGTTCTGCTTGAAGGCCTTCTCCAATACATCCAGAGCAAGCTGGCCGAACTGCCTGATGATACAGTGATGAACAGAGAACACAAAAGGCCAGTCAGAGCCCCAGAAATGTCTTCAGAGATTGACTATGCACACAGAAAACACTGGTTAATTGGGCTGTATGACCAAAACAGAATTAGGCTGTGTAATAAACAGCAATTTAAGCTATTTAAGTCATCAGAAACTACGGCAGCTACTCAGAAGGTAGACAACTTGTCCTATTTTCCTGGTAGTGCAAAGTGGAATTTAATGTTTGTGTCAGAAGCCATTCCATGCTCTGTGACTCACTACATTCATACTGGTGTGGGTGGTTCTACATGAGAAGTCCCAGTAGAGAAATTCAGACAGAAGACACTGTGTCCAAGAAATATTATGCTATTATGTTTTTACTTTTATCATATATATTCCTTAAATACTTAAGAAGCTAGACCCAAAAACCCTCAGGCGATTTCCCAGAAGGCTTTATTCTCTACAAATGCTGCAGGTCTGTAAATCAAGCTATAGATTAGCTTCCATCATTCACTGAGCTTCCCTCCATCCACAGGACTATCACACTTTAGTAATCAGATTAATGGAAACATCTCTCTTCTTTCTCAGTCCCACCAGTTACTTTCTGGTTCTTCACTACAGTGTGTGTTTGCTCCCCAGCCTTAAAGACACCTAAGATAAGCAGCCATCTTAACTAACAGCATGGAAGACTTTGGGGCTCCAAAGGACTTTTATGTCATTCGTTTCAAAAACCATTAACCGTTCTTAAGGAACTAGAGGCTAAAATCTAATTGGCTGATCCACACAATAAAAAAAAAAAAAAGTTGCCCATGGAACACAGCACTCCTCACTGGAAAGTGACATCTCTCCTATATTCCAGAGTTCCTTCTGATCTTTATGGACCTTTACTACAGAATGCATGAAAGATGCAATGTGATAGTCAGCGTTGGTTGCTGGATGGACAGGATCAGGAAATAACTAGAAATCAGTATTACACTGTGTCTGTGATCATGTTTCCAGGGCTTGGCATGAGTCTGAGTTGAACTACATAAAGAAGATCCCTTTTCTAGGTGGATGGCCACCACCTGGTCCTCCAGGGGCCCAAAGAGGACAAGTACAGAAAGTGAATTGGCCTCTGTCCCTCAGAGGTGAGATAACTGTCATGTATGTGCCCTGGACATCAGCAGTCCAGGCTCTGCAACCTGAAGATTCTACAGCTTGTAGCAACAATGCCCTTCCCCAGTTCAAAGGACTTAAACTGAGGCTCCTACTACAGATTTCTCTGGTTCTGGGGCCTCTGGACATGGACTTAGCCATGTTTCTGGTCTCTCTGAGTCTCCAGGCTCCACAAAGTCTTCTCAGCTACTAGAATCACTTAGGCAATTCTCTTACAAATCCCCTCCCATGTAACTATCTATACACCCTACTGACTCTGTTTCTCAGGGGATGCTTGACTGAAACACACAATTCTAAGTAAATCTACTTGTCCCATGGTAAAGTGAAGGAGAAAGAAGTGTCTACACTTTCTAAAAACTGTTGTCCCTTAGTGTGAAGTGAAGACAGAAGACCTACTCTGAGTAATTTTTCAATTCCTCTGAGGTATCGTCCACCATGTTGCTCTCCTTAGCTTCCCGGGCCATGGCCCTATATAGAATACTAGCAATGACCGCCTTGACTGTGGTCTCCTCTCCATGCTGCCAGAAGAACATGGCCATCTTCTGCCTCTTCATCAGCACAGCCCATACCAGAAGATCATTGTATGGGTAGACAAAACCAGCAGACTCGGGGTCCTCTGATAGGCTGTGTATTTCCTTTGACTTCTTCTTTGACTTATGAGAGTCTCCAGGCTTGTCCTATTGCAAAGGAGAACAAAAGCCTAAGAACTCCAATACGTGATGCTTAGTTAAATATAACACAGCAATTATCCTAGAGATACTTTTTAAAATAATTACTGCCTATGTTAGATCCCAGCAAAAAGGCAAAACAAACAAAAAGCCCAGATAGCCACCATAGTAGAACTGTTAGTACAAACTATCTGGCAAAACTGATACAGTGTGCCCTTCTGTATAAGACAAACAAAAGCAATCAGTTAGGGATGTAGCTCTGTGGTAAGGCAACCAACTGATATGCACAAAACACTGAGTTTAATTCTCCCAACTATAAACAATGCATGCTTTATAGAACTACAACATAGGACTTAGACACCCATGAGGACTGAGTTCACAGTCCTGACTCCAAAGTGAGACCTTGTCTCAAAAATATGTTGAATATCATTAAGATAAACCAGCAAGCACAATTTGCACTTTGATGGTAATCTATTTGGGTAAGAATTTTATTTTAAATATTCTCTACTTCTATCTTAGCAAGTTGATTTGTCATTGCTCTTTTGAAGAGTACCACTAGTACTGCCAGAATACGTTCAAATAGATCACTTTGTTTTATTTTATTCTGGAACAAAAAGCATTACCCAACCCCCTCCACAAGCTGACCCTTTGCAGCTCAACTAATACAGCACTCAAACTCCCTGTGTGCCTTTGCGTGGCTTCCTGTCTCTGATTCAGTGTCCTGTATAATGTTATTCACCTTAAGATAAGTGGAACCATTTCTCAGTCACCATTTTATCTACCTCTACCTGCTCATGTCCCCAGTTCAACCAAGTACTCAGCATAATGCTTGAGAAATAATAAAGGTTTAAAAATAATTGTTTGTAATTTGAAGCATCGTGGCAAAAACCATTAGAATATTTCTCTTCTCTTTCTATGGATAAAAAGAATTTATTCATTAATGGTGGCAAAGGGCTGTGCCAGCAGCTGGGGGAAAGCAAACATCTTACAGAAAATAGAATATGATTTCCATGGAAATACCTAAGCAAAAGCATTCTTTCCCAGAGAAAACAGGCTAACGATACACATTCATTATCTTTGTTATATTGCAAAATTAGGATAAAACTAACTTCAAGAAAGACTTAGTTAGGGAAAAGAAGATACAAGAGAACCAGCTTCCAAAACCTGAAAGTTACAAATGGAATGGTCCTCATATCCAACCAGGCTTGAGTAAGGAAGTCAATAGTGCAGTGTTAGGCTAATGATTATGAATGTTAAATACCATGGCATACACAGCCTGCCTGAGTCACCAACTGTACAAGGCCAAGGTAGGAATAAGGAAGAGAACCCAAGGGGAAAGCCCAGACAATCACTGGGTTGTCAGCGCTCTGTATTGTTGAAGAATAGCTGTGTCAGCAGAGATGCTTGTGAATTATACCATCTGTTTATGGTCCTGAGGGATGATTCTTCATTGGCCCCTCCCTTTCTCCAGTGTCAAATGAAGGAGACATCTCAGTCTGCAAAACCAACTTCATCTTCCAAAGGAGTGTACCTTGGATTTGTAGGGCTGTGCAGTCCTAAAGAACTGGGAATGCAGTGTGCTTTCTGAAGATTCATGTCTACTTCCCAAGGAATGCCGCTGGTGAAGAGGGTGCTGGGAAAGGCTCTGAGAAAAGCTGGTCACACTCTGGTGTATGTTGGTATTTCATTTTATAAAGAAAGCAAAAGGGAGAGATGTTTTAAAAAAAGATTATAATAATAACCACACATTCTTTCCAGACAATGATGAAAGCTAAGTATGTGTCCCTACAAATGCCCAACATGATTAATAATTAATGTCTCTGGAGATCCATCACTCAATAGCCTCCCCCAATCTCCTTCTGATGAACACTACTATTTCCTGACATTTTAGAGAACATACTCTTTTGTTCTCTATTATATACCTAAATTCCTTTCCTATGTGGCAATTCCTTTATAATTAATGGATGGTCTAGCCTCGCAACAAGTTCAAAACAGGCAATACAATTTTATAGTTTATAGATAAGAAAAAGCTTCTATTCACAAAGAGCTCTAAGGTTTAGGTGAAGTTAGAAAGTTCTGGAATTTTTCCAGGTACCATATGATATCCACTGCATGGGGATCAAATGAAGTGCCAGCAAGGAGAAACACGAATATATAGAGACTGACATAAGAGCCTAGGATATAAACCCCAGCTTTTGAAAAACTCTACTCTCCTTCAGTTTGTTTTATATGGATAAAAAAATGAACAAAGAAAAAATGAAGTTAGGATTGCTCAGTGACATCACCCAAGTTACTTTCATCATTATTATCATAGAGAATTAATAACATCAACATGATGATAATCATGAGTATTGTTATTAAGTCACTCAAAGCTTGCTCTGTAGTAGGATGTGAAGGGGTTTTGTAATCTCATAAGTTTGTGAACAGGACATTGATATGCCCAGTTCATAGATGGGAGAGTGGGAACACAGATTATGTTTCATTATGACATCAAATGGAATTTGATGTCAAACCACACTGACGCCATACTACAAAGATGTTAGGATTGTGGTCTGGCTGCTGTCTAAACTGAAACACCAATTAGTGAAATGGGACATGTTATACTGAAGGGCCATTTCCAGAAGGAGCAGCAATGGAGTCTCCTAGTTAGCTACAAACCAGCTGCACCAAGGTCACACAGTGACCCTGTAGTCACCACCACACAGTAGTGTCACTTCTTTCAAAGGAAAAAGCTGATGCTGGGTGTCTTGTGGCCTCATAAAGCTCAGCAGAGGTTATTTCCTAGATGACATGTGGTTTTCCATATTGCACATGGTTTTGTGGGGAGTGCTTTGCTTATTTCTTAAACTTAAATTGGACTATCACTTCTCCCAATTCTTTATAAAGGTCCCAAGCAGCTGGATATTCCAGGTTCTTCATGGAACTCCTTCCAGACCACGTTCCAGTCTCATCCCTGTCTGCCCACAACAAAAGTCTCAGTATTGCTATAGAACCCTGCACTGATGTCTAAGCATTGTTCTTCTCTGTTCCCACTTTCCTCTCCTCTTCAGTGTCCAGTGCTCCTTTTCTGGTGTCTGTATGTCTAAAAAGAGCTAATCTCCTCTAATTATGGGTCAATGATGGCAACACTCCTTTTATAATCTTGGTCTTCCAAAACTACAACAGAAAATATATTATCTGTAAAACCTTTTCTCTTTTTAAGCTCACTCTGTTTTCATCTTCCAGTATAATTCTTACATGCTTAGCCCAAAATGCAGTCTCTGGACTATAGAGGCTATTGTTCACTTATAGAAATAAATTTATTAAGAGTTTGACCTTTGGCCAAGCGTTGGTGGCTCATGCCTTTAATCCCAGAACTCAGGAGGCAGAGGCAGTCGGATCTCTGTGAGTTCGAGGCCAACCTGGTCCACAGAGTGAGTTCCAGGATAACAACCTCCAAAGAAATACAGAGAAACCCTGTCTCAAAAAAAAAAAAAAAAAAAAAAAAAGAGTTTGACCTTTGACCTCTCTGTTTTCAATAGGAAGAAAAGAAAAAAGCAGCTGTTCTCTAGCTAGATTCATCACACAGCACTTCTATGCTCATAGAGCACAGCATCCCGCTCTGTATTGTGGGTAATTTACCCATAAATCTGTTTCTTCTATGAGGTTTCTTTATATCTACCTCATGCCAGTACACAAACCCTTTGTACAGCACTCTACATACAGCGGGTGACATGTGCTCTCAGATGAGAGGCCCATTGACGAAGCTACTACCCCTGGGACTCCGTTGACCATTTTCTTAAAACTAAACTTTGCAATTCCCCTTCCTTGCACTGAGGCACTTTTCAGTGATGTTACCTTGCGTTGCTTTCTGTAGAGGTTGTTGTAGAGAACTCTGAAACTTTTCCTAGTGTAGCTGCTTCGATAGGCTCCACCAATGAGGTACTCTATTACCAGCCCAATATCGATGAGCGTTATTCTGTAGCTTGAGAGAAGGGTATGCTACAACAAAGATCAAGGCATCACAACTTTGTTCTTCAATATCTTCTATATCTCTTTTTCTATGCTCTCAAAGGGCAACACACTTAACTTATCCATCTCTTTCTCTTCAGCATATTGTGATGAAGATTTAGGAAATAATTTAGGCAAGTCATTTTTGCTATGGCTCAAATCAATGTAATTTAAATCTGTATCCTCAGAGACAATTTTTCTTACTGTAAAATTGACAAATAAATATCTTCCTTTTAACTGACTCTCCAACTAAGTCAACAGAAGCAGAAAGTCCACACTCTACCCAGTGAGATGCCAAGTTTCAAAAAAGGAGAGAATTCTTCAAGTGTACTGTGGGTGACTTTTTCTCACAGTGACAAATGAAAAACCTTTAAATTTTCAAGTCACGTGCTACTCAACATTTAATGAGAACACTCTGAGAAAAACATGAGCAAGAATGTTGAACCATCCTAACCCCCTGCAATGGAACTTAGACACACAAAAGCATGTTTGCATCCCTACACTGCCACTGGTACTCAAAATAATGATAACAGAAAACATCAGAAATCATACACTAGATATCCCCAAAAAGCCTGTGCTGCTGATGTTCTCACTGACTGTGTGATAGATAGAATCCATTGCTTATGTGTCTTCATTTATTTTGGTTGTTTCTGTTGAGACAGAGTCTAATATGTAGCCCAGGTTGCCCTTAAAACCTGGATCCTCATGCCTCAGCCGCCTGGGTCCTAGAATTATAAGCATGAAACCCACAATCTGGCCTGTTTCTGGGGTGCTGACAACTGAATTCAAGGTCTTACATAGAGCACTGTATCACTGAACTATGTAATCCTTCTGATCTGTGTTTTTCATAACTCGTATCACTTAGTTGATGGACCAAACTTTAAAAATAGAAATGAAGTGTGAAAACCTAGAAGAATAAAATTTTGTGATTAAAAAGTAAGTAATTCCCAATAAAATTGAAACCTACATTTTATAAATTTCATTCAACTATCTCAACTCTAAGGTAATAGGCAAAGAGTATTTTCAACTTTTATACTTAGGTTACCTGTTTTACATCTTGGACAAGATGACGTAAAAACATATTAGTTGGTCCTTGTTTCTGTGATTAAAAAAAGAAAAAAAAAGAATCATTTCCTTTGACTATTGTGTGCTGGAGGCGCCTTGTTTCAGAATTACACAGGTATTTCAAATTACATAGGCAACCGGAACATTGGAAAGCTTCTTCAGCATCTTTGGTAATGAGACTTAAGCTACTTAATCTTAAAGAGGGAGTTTCCCAGGAGAAGCCATGATCAGTCAAAGTAGTTTTCAAAGCATGTATATACAGAAATAGTAAGATGTTACTTTTACGTAGTAAGAAGCACAAAATTTGAGCACTTATGACTATCCTTTATCATATATAAATTCTATCAAGTAATCAAATCTCTTTGCATGTGAGGGCATTCTATCAGTCAGTACTTTGTTGAACCCTTAACAATGCCCAGCTTCCTGGGGATCCAAGAGATTCTTCACAATAACAGGAAATGAAGAGTAATGCATATCCTAAGACGTGGCCAACAGTGTGAAGACGTGTGTGCTGAAAGGAATCCGGGAGTGCTCTAAATTCTAGAAAGAGATCACTGTTAAGTGACTGGAGCAATGATGAAGACAGAACTTGGATGATGCTTGAAGAGAGGACAGTATTGAAAGGAACATGAAGGAGAATTCAGGCAGTGGACATTTTCACAATGGATAAGCAGGTCTCAAGGGTCAAGTTTGGTCATCAGCCTTGGCCACAGTGCCTTTACCCAGTGAGGCACCTCACTGACCCAAGAAGAACATATTAATAGTGGCTTTAGGTCAAGATATTCCAAATAACTGAATAAAAAGCAATTTTTTTCTTATTCACACTGTTGCCTCTGTCTTAAGATAAAATATTCCATGGCAAGGGTGTGAGTTAACTTGAAAGTAAGTCTTCATTCTGAAAACTGTGATGGAACATGAGCATTTGAGGAGGCAGACAAACCTGAAGCTAACTAGCAAACAAATCTTGAGCAACATGACATGATACTCACTGTATTATAGAGATCTTCCAGCCGGGGTATGGTGAGGAAACGGTGGAGGTTCACTCCATTCTCTATCAAGAGTTTCACAAAATCCACCCGATCCATCACTAAAGCATCTAACATTGCTTGTTCTAGAGTACCGGGCTTCAGGAGGTACAAATAAGGAAGAGGTACGAAGATAATTAACATAAGAAAAATAAGAAACACAGATAACACTACATAGATACCATCATTATAAAATACAGTCTTCCTAAGAAACCAACTGAAGACATAGTCAACTATGATTCATGTTCTTGTGTGAGAAAACTAAACACTGTAACCACCTCAAAACTCCCCCAAACTGATGGTGAGTCATAAAGGTAATTCTAACGAAAATCCAAGAGTTTCCTGGTTTGTTTTTAATTTGTGGATGGAGGGAAATGTTTACTCATTCACTTGGCTGATGGATTTTTTTTTAATTTTGGATTTAGTTTTGTTTGTGGTATCCTCATTCTTCCATTAAACTTTACCTGCATAAGTAGCATGTTGGACATACTCAACTCATTTTCCCCTGTCAAACAAATCCACTAAAACTACATCAGAAGAATTTTTTTAAACAAATCAATTCATGAGCACTGGGGCTGGGGATTAGGGCTGAGGACAGCAGTGTGGAATGTGAAAAGTGGTTGGTCAAGTGGTAGTTGGCTTCAGTCCACCCAAAACCAAACAATTGAAATGAGAAGTGTCAAGGGTCACACAGATTGATGCCATGTAACAGCAAGGCCACAGTGAAGTCAATGTACACATACTGAGTCTAATGTTAGGACTTGGAAGTCATTATCCCCACTTGCCCCTTTACTGTGAGCAGTAACACTTGTACCTCCCAGCTGGTATAGGCACTTCTTTTCTGGCATTAGCATCAATGCAAGAGAAGACATGAGTGTGCTGACACGGAGGAGAGTCCCCCAGAAAATGGCATCAGATGACCTTTGCTGAAGTTCAAACACTTGAGTAAAAAAATTCAACACAAATGTATCAAAAAGCTTGGAGGAGCAAAATAATTCAGGAAGAAAGCCTCCAAAAAAAAACTACTATTAATAGTTTCAGACAGATAAAATAAGATCTATTCCAGGTACCACTGAACACAGAAGAAAGAAATCCACTCAGCAAACAAATGTGCTCCTGGGAATTGGCAGACTAACCCTCTGCTACCAGTAAAGCACGGTTTTACTGAGGCTGAGTTGAGAAACCCTATCAAACACAAACACAAGAAAAGCAAGAGAAACAATTATCAGCAATTGAGTAAATACTCAGGAAACAGGAATCCGAAAAAGGAGCAGAGAAAACAAAGGGGATAGAATGGAACTGTGAATGCAAGTTTGAAATTATGTACATACTGAATCTGTAGACCTGTGATGTTTTGAATGAGAATGTCCCACATAGAGTCATCTATCTGAATGCTCTCGCTGATAGAACAATTAGGGAGGGATTAGGAGGCATGGCCTTGTTGGAGGAGGTGTGTTGCTAGAGGAGCAGGCTTTGAGGTTTCAAAAGACTTGCACCACTTCCAGTGTGCCTCTCTGCCTCGTGCTTGTGGTTTTCACACTTGAGCTTTTAGCTGTTGCGCTGCCACCAAGCCTTCACTCCATCATCATGAACTCTGACCTGCTGAAACCATAAGCCCCATTAAATATTTTCTTTTATAAGTTGCCTTGGTCATGATGTTTTATCACAGTAATAGAAAAGCAACTAAAACAAGACCTAACACACACCATTGTGAAAGCTTAGAACTGAAGGGACCAGCTTCCCTTTTGGCAGCAATAATGGCCGAACACGTGCTTCTATGACCTTGTCCTAGAAACCAGAAAGTCAGATGCCTACCTCGTGACAAGGAAACAATCAGAAGTTAGTCACTAGAAAGTCAGATGCCTGTCTCGTGACATGGAACCAATCAGAAGTTAGCTGGGGGCACTATGCTTTACGACCCTGGGTGTGCTTTACGGACAAGCGCACAGCAATGATGTAGAGAGCATAGCAACCACCCTGGGAGGGCCTATGGTCCATAACAACCAGTTGACCAATCAACACAGGGCAAGCCCTCCAAGGCTGGAGGCACACCAATCGTGAGCCTGTGCGTACCCCTAGACACTCCCCTTACGCTGCCCTATAAGATCTTTCGGGAGACCCTAGGAGCAGTCTTTGCTAGCCATCCGCCATGGTGGGTGGATCAAAGACCGGAGCTAACATGGGGTTAGCTCGTTAAACTACAATAAAGCCTCATGCAATTTGCATCAAGCTTTCGCCTCTATTCTGTGTTTGGGGTGGCCTCGGTCCTGGGCTAAGATTCTGGAAGCCTCAGCTTTCCAAGGGTCTTACAGAACCTTAGAGAAAGAAAATATTTTAAAAATTCCAGGGAAGAAGAAAAAAATGGTCGCAAAGGACCTAAAGATGGAATTGTGTTCATTTGTCAACACCAGTGCTAGACGTTCAAAATTCTGCTGAAAAAAAAAAAATGCAATTCTAGGGCAAGCAAGATGGCTCATCAGGCAATGAGCCGATGATCTGTCCTGAAAGCATAGCAACCTGAGATGGAGCCATGAAACCTATGCTAAGTTGTAAGGAAAGAATTGACCCCACAAAGCTGTCCTCAAGTCTCCACTTGCATGCCATGGCTTGTGTGCCCTCCCATCCCACACACTAACAACAACAAACTAATAGTAACAAAACTTTAAAAAAAAATTCTAATCATGAATTAAAAAATACAGCCATATATCAGGCTCTCTGAATTTTTAGCTCCCATGTTCTTTGTTAGGAAGTTATTAATTCTTGCCATCGTTACAGAAGAAGAAGACTAGAAAAGGAGTCTTGAGGCACAGGAAACAGAGCAGAGGGGCAAGAAAATCCCATGCTGGTGAGGCAGATGCCAGAATGGCATCCAAGCTCCAAAACCAGAGGGCGTCTCCAACAACACAGAGTGAGCTTCAGAAGATAGAAGGACCAAGAAGTTCCTAGGACTCATGAGTTGGAAGAAATCTGTGTGGCATAATTTAGAATCTAGAAAGTTACAAATATCCGAACAGCCAAAAATGTCAAGTGTAGAAGACTCATGTCAGTAGAAAAAAATCATTATTTTCATAGCCTTCTAACCACATTTGATGTTTTAACCCATTTGTTAACTTGAACGAAATACAACTGAGGTATAGTTACAACTTAAATTTTTAGTGAAATATTAATGGTGATTATCACCATTGTAATGCTGAAATTGAATATATATTTTCCTGCCTTTTCACTGGTTTCTATTATTGATAGCAGAGGATAGGAAGGAACACGTGGCATGTTAACAGTAGAAATGAGACCAAGCCAAAGGAGACCAGCAGCTCACTTCGGCAAAAGGCTGTCAGCTTTGGTTGACTCTTTTGTGGGAATGGTCCAAGATTTGGTGATTGTCCATTAATCAGGGATACTGTTTCAAACAATATTCTTCTTAGGCACAAGCATCCTGGTCTTGTACTTGGTAGACTAAGAGTAAAAGGTCATATCCTCATCTTGCACAACTTCTTTACAGGGATGAAGAACTATCGGTGCTTGAGTTGAAGAGAATTCAAAAGTAGAAGAAACATAGACCCATTAGCAATGGTCAAGCTAACCCTTCATAGTCTTTGAACAAAACATTTTTCAAATGATCAGCATGTCTCCATGCAGAGCAGAGTCTGATTCAAGACTGAGTGGCAAATGGACAGATGATGTGAAGACAAAGATACCAAGTCCTGTCTCCCACAGGAGAGCAGGCAGAGCACGTTCCCAAGCAGAGCCAGCATTTTTAGCTAAAGTGTTTGCAAAGTACCCTGGGCAATTGTGATGATAGCCCACACATCAGAAGTGTGACCTGCTGTAGACTGAGATTCACTCTGATGGGAGGCTGGCCTCTGAGGTGACAAGTCTTTCTGAGAACAACTTGTAGAATGAGGTTTTTCCTTGGTAATGATAACTCTCTTCATCTTTGTTTGCCTTTTAATTGTATGGTCATTTTAGAACACACTAGTTTTTTATCTTGTTTTAGTCACAAGGAGCTCCTGTAGACATCTCAGCCTTGTGATCTAATCTGGTACTTCACAGCAAAGCTGATGACAGAGTGTAGGGAAGGAGAGCACAGAGTCAGAAGACAACACTGTGTTTTCACTGGGTTCAGAGGTTAAAGGCTCAGAGTCTACTTGTTTTGAGTCTTCTAGTGGTAGTCTCTACATGTTTCACTATAAATGTCACATTTTAATTTAAAACTAAACAAAACACTAAGTTAATATTTAAGTTCTAAACAATAAAAAACAAAATCAAACTCATTAAAAATAAACATAAAATCTTTCTATCCATTCTTTTGGTCTTTTAACTTCCTATTTCATCTTCCATGAAACCAGGGAAAATTTGTTTTCAGGGAGGCAAACCAAGGAAAAGACATACCTTTGCTTCCCTGGCATCAGAGTGATACCCATCTCTCCTCAAATCTTCTCTTTGTTCCCCTCCCTAACAAACCAATATGCAAAATACTTCTTTCAAACAACCTCATTTTCATTATACCTTCCAATGTTGTCCATAAATTAGGATATGTTTCTTGGCAATGTCCATTCTGTCCCAAGCCATTGCCAGATTTAATTGTTCTGATATTGATAAGTTTGTGCCTAGGAGAAAAGAAAGTAATAATCACATATTGTATTCAAGTCAAGAAAAAAAGCACAGAAATCCTCTAGAATGTGAGAACAAGAAGTGGGGAGGAACTTCGAATCTGGTGGTCACTCACCCTTCAGCAAAGCCGTGAGGATTGCCAAATCAAGGTCTTGGTGCTCCTCAGACTCAGCATCAAATATGGTAATCTGTGATGGGTGAAAATCAGAAAGTCACACGGTTTACAAACTACCCAGAGATGTCTTCAAATGGTGTAAATAAGATGAACATCTCAGCTACTGAAGGAAATATTCCTGGTTTTGTAAATTAAAAACAGTGTGGCATTGTTTGACTTACAAAAGTAAAACTGTTTCAAATAGGGTGACAAAAAATTAGAGGCACATAGAAAAAAAAAAAACAACACTTTAAAAATCTCACATGTAGTAGAGCTTACTTTGCACCATCATCAGGTAAAGAGCCTCATTGTTGACTCCCAGTGCAAATCAACTCACCCCTCCTTTGGAAGGAATAACCGTGAGAGCCCTCTGCAACCCTCTGATCACTTAAACCCCAAAACTAAGACCTTTGCTTCATAATGAGAGGTGACTCCTCAAATGTTCGTCCTAAACTCAGTAAGCCGATGACCATGGAGTCCCTGGATTGTACAATGAACTGCAATCTTCACAGTGTCAAAGTGCCCAGGGCTTCCTAGGGTGAGACTGACTTTTAAAAACTCAGCATAAAATGTGTTAGATACCATTGTGACACTTTTTAAATAAGTATAATTTTTTGTGGCTTTTGTTCCCCCCAAGTCCCTATCCCTTGCTACTCTTGTGTCCCCCTGCCCACCTAACAGATTCTTTTCCTCTTTGATGTCCCATGTCTCCTTTGGCTCACCCCCACACGCCCCTACCCTTCTTCATCATCTGATATAACCATTTTTGGGTCTCCTTTCTAGATTTTTCCACTTTACCCACATTTATATCTGTTTATGTGTAGTATGCATACTTCCAAATGAAATATATTTCCTGAAATACAGGAAGTTACATTAACAGAAAAAGCCAGGAATGGCAAGGCCTGGTCCAAAGGAAGACTCTAACTGACTCACCTTAGGAACCTTAAAGCCACTGAATGTAAGTTATGTATCCACAAAATAAATAAGAATCTGGAAAAATGCCCAAGGTCCTATTTTAAAACTGTGCTAATGCATCTGCATTTGTTGGATCCTTTTGCCTAACATCCTTGTGTGTACAAACAAAATCAACCCTCAACCACCAGCTACACAGAGCCCAATGGCTGTGATGTGAGCACTGCAGTTTTCTTCCTTTGCCTTTCTTCATCTTTCTGCTCACTGCTCAGTAATTATACTACTTAATGACAAAAAGAAACAAGTACTCCAGCAATCTCTTTCATGTGGCCTTTTCTTCTAATTATGCAAAGCATGGCAGAGTGGCACCTGTGAGCTCAGATCAGGCCCGCCATTTCTTAATTGGATGACTGGACAAATCACTTAAATTGTCTAGCCTTCAGCTGCATAATTTCCAAAAGGGAATTGAGCAACCACTGACATCTTGAACTCATTCTTAGGGTTATTTTAGATGAAAGAGAGTTAAAAGCATGTGGCCACTTATAAACACAGTTGTGGTCACTGAAGATGCCAAAGGGTTTTTCATGTGAGTTCTTGCCAGGTTTGAACTTGTTCCATTGGTTTTGTAAGGTTAGGTGCTTTAGTACCAACATAATCTCTTCATGATTTCACTAAGCTTCCCATTTCTGGAGAGATCACTGCAAATGGCAAGACTTCTGCATATTCACTGAAGTTTTCTGCTTCATATCATCTAAGTGGTCATCAATAAAAATTTTGGAAACAGTCCCCTAAAACACAAGCAGTTTTCCTGAGTCTGCATTATAGTTGTAGCCCTTGTTTTTTGTTTGTTTGTTTCTTTGCTTGCTTGCTTGATTTGATTTGATTTGATTTGATTTGATTTGCTTGAGACAGGGTCTCACTGTGTAGCTCTGGGTAGCCTGGAATTCACCATGTAAACTAGGATGCCCTTGAACTCACAAAGATCCACTGCCTTCCAGTGCCCATGCCTGTGCCCCTGTCCATGCCCCTGCCTCCTGGGTGCTGGAGTTAAAGGTGTATGCCGCCATACTCAGCTGAACTACATTTTCTATTGCATGCTTTAATCTCATTTGCCCTTGTCCGTTGCACACATGAAGACCTGCTGCGAGCCTCATTCACAATGCTATGTTGTGATCATCAAACACAGCAGACTTAAGTCCACTGCACTCCCAGGGCTGCTCTTTCAACCTTTGCAAGTGTTTATGTTTGGTAACTTTTGTGTGATACTGTTTTTCTAAGTGCTGTGTCCCAGATAGACTCTAAAATGTAAAACATGAAAGGTTAGAGTGGGGGTGGGGCAGGAGGAATTCAAGTTTACACAACGGAAGGGTCAAATTTTGCAAAGTCATATGCATCCAAGTTCAAAATAGGTATTCCATGCACTTTTTTTTTTAAATGTGAAAATAAATATTTTGAGTTCTGGAAGGTAGCACTTTTTTAAGTCATCAACTCAGCATACTCACAGAATCCTTGTGTACCATGCACTCCATCAGAATTTGGAAAAGGTGCCTCGACTGCCTAAGGCTAAAGTTGAACATGCTCTGAATCAAACAGAAGATCTCTTCTTTCACCTGAGGGCGCAGCATCCTGGCAGAGAAATAAAGGGGCATAACCTGAAGCAAGCCAGAGAAGAGACCAACCAGTAGCACTGGTGTGAGTACGGTACTCCGTATGGGTACCCTACTGAGAAGGCTATCCTCAAGAGAGCCCATGAGCAAGAAGCAAATGCATAGCAGGGGAAGAGGGGTGCAGAGAAGGATGGATTTTAATGTGGAGTATTCATCTGCCAGGCCCCCTGAAATGATACATTCTAGGGTAGTCTCCTTAATCTGATGGGTTCCAGAAGGCAGTGAGTTTTCACAGTCCAGGCATAGTATTCTCAAACGGCCTAACCCCCTAAAATGGTAGGCCATTGCTCAACTAAGACAATAGCATCTCTCCCGGTTACAGGTCGAGGGTCTGGTGCACAAGCCCAGTCATTGAAAAGAGGAATGACCATCTAAGCATGTGGCTTGCATGGTCCATGAAAATGCACAGCTTGAAAGTCCCAAGTGGAAGAATGAAGAGTCACCAAGTTTTCAAGCTGGAAGAGTCAACAACTCACCCTCCATCCTCCCAATGTTTGTAGGTGAAGGCCAAGAGGTCAGCAGCTCTACCCGTGCCCTCACACACCACCACAGGTTCCTTGTTCTTGACAGTCTCCCATACTGTGAGGATGACATTGGGGCCTCCTTCCACCACCAGCCCCACCACGGGCACACCTTGTCTTGAGCCTATTTCAGGTCACAAACAATACCATACTGTCACAAGCTGTCCTGTCTCGGTCAGTCAGCCACCTTGATTTCTACACTTAAATCCTTCAACTACCACCTTTACCTACCTGCTCGATTAGCTCAAGACCAATCAGAAACTTGGACTTGAGAGAAAATGTAGCCCAAATAAGGTGAGGGCATCTTTAAGCTTTTGCCAGGTAAAAGATCATTAAACGTTCTCAGTAACTTACCAGGTTGTGGAGGGAGAGCTTAAAACGTTTTAACATTTTATTATTGAAAATTCTAAAGAATTTAAAAGTAAGCAGATCTATACAGTAGATGCCAGTGTCCCCATCACTCATTAAAAACAGTCAGGCTTTGTCAGTTCAATAAACTTTTAATGGTGAGAAGGGCAACCTTCAATGTCTTTTATATTTCAGTATAATACAACTTTCACTGTTTAAATTTCTTATCATGATTATGATGGGGAATGTACTTCTTTGTATGTTTATCTTGTTGATTATTGAATAAAATACTGTTTGGCCAATGAGACAGCAAGTTAGACAGGACTAGGAGTCAAAGAGGATTCTGGGAAATGTAGTCGAGAAGTGGTGATCCAGGCAGGAAATGACATAGCAAGGAGACTCATATTTAAGCAAAGGAAACAGGAAGTATCCCCTTTTTCCCCTTCGCCTCCTCCAGCAGCAGGATGTGAGCCACCGACAAGAGAGGGCGCCAGCAAAAGGCATCCTCTATAAAGATAAGTCTTATAACATATATAGATTTATGATAATTAAGACTGAGCTAGCAGATGAGAAGTCCGAGTGATTAGCCAAGGAGCTTTGAATCTAATACAAGTCTCTCTGTGCATTAATTGGGGCCCTAACTCGGACTGGTGGCTGGCGTAAAGCGCACATGTGGCGGTGGGGCTCAATGGCTTTTGGCGGAAAGATTTATTGTAACATGATTATATATTATCTTATCAAAGCAAGGAGTCAAGAAAAGCTTTAGCAGGCTGGAGAGATAGCTCAGAGGTTAAGAGCACCACCAACTGCTCTTCCAGAGGTCCTGAGTTCAATTCCCAGCAACCACATGGTGGCTCACAACCATCCCTTATGAGATCTGATGCTCTTTTCTGGTGTGCAGATATACATGGAAGCAGAATGCTGTATACATAATAAATAAATAAAATATTAAAAAAAGAAAAGCTTTAGCAACTACTGAGCCATTCTTCAAAGCCCTGTTATAACTATGAATTTATATATGTATACAGATATTTTTCTATAAGTGAATTGAAATCTGAGAGAATATAAATAAACAATTAACATTAAAACATTTTTGGTATTTTGAAACAAGTTGTAGCTATGTAGCTGCAGTTGGCCTTAAACTCACAATCCATTTGTTTTAACCTCTTGAGTGCTATATTGCAAGTATGAACTGCCATGCTCAGCATGACTTTAATCATCTTATTGATTTAAATTTTAACATGTTGCTTTTAAACTATAGATTTGATTTTACATTTCAAAGGAAGGAAAACTAGTGAACAATATTTTATATTCAACCTTGAGCAACTGTCCAGTTCTAAGAGGATTTTGAATGTGTTCCTCATAAAGAAGCAAGAGCAAAGTTTAACCTGATTTGAGCAGAATAAAATACACTCATGGCACCTGGTGACATGCTACAACTTTTCTCTTGTGTATCAGATTAAAAAATATTTTTTGTTAAGAATTAAAAACTCTAATGCAGAGAAGCCTCATTAGAGAACTACAGGCTACTGTCTGCCAGTAAGTATCAAGAAGACCATAGTTCTCAAAGTTAATGGTTCCTGAAACAGTCACCTTGAGAAACAATACTGTGGAGACTACACTGAAATTACCAGGAGAAAGAGGGGCCTTGGGACCTATGCTTCCTATCCTGACAGGACAATGGCTGACAAAACAACTGCCATTGACCCCTTTCAATGGCCAATTACTGAGGCCCGGATTCTTTCAGCAACTCTAATAGGAGCCATATTTCATTTATTATTTGATTTTTATAAGTCCTTTTTGCTAATATGAAATGCCAGCCAGCAACTTCAAAGACGCTTTGGTTATTTTCTAGAAATAAGCAATCAGTAGTTACATATTTTCATTCTGTCAAAGTAGCTATACAAATGGTAAATATGAATATGTGATCCTCCGTGGACACATCAGGTATGACAATCAGGCATCAATACATAAGAACTTCCATAGAGCCATACCAAGAGGGAGAAGGGAACAAAGCAACAGACATTTATTAAGGATACACTGTGCACCCAACACTTTTAACCACATCTATCATGGTCAGTGCTAGCTGTCAACTAGAAAGAGTCTAGAATCCCCTGGGAGACAGTCCTCTAGGCATGCCTGTGGGAGATTATCCTGGTTGCACTTATAGATGTGGGAAGACCCATCTTGAATGTGAACAGGGCTATTCTCTGGGAAAAGCATCCTGGACTATATAAAATGAAGAAAGCAAGCTGAACGCTAACATGCATTCGTTTTTGTCTGCTTCCTGATTGTGAATGTGATGTAACCAGTCTCTTTAAGCTTCTGTTGCCTTGACTACCCCACCATGATGGACCATACCCTTGAACTGAGAGCCAGAACAAACACAATATTGAACACATTTTTTCAAAGTTTTAACAACAAAAGTTAGGGGTAGACAAATACTTACACTTATGAAGTTTAAAAGCTTAGCAAGTATTGACCCCATTGCCCAAGCTCACAGACAGCAAAGAATTGTCCCTAATGCCACACTTACTGCTGCCTCAAAGGAACAAGAACAAAAACTAAAAAGACTTACTTTTCTAGCCACCACTCAAAGGATGCAAAGAACTTGAGTCCCTTGAAAGGTACAAATATAGTCGGGCGTTGGTGGCGCATGCCTTTAATCCCAGCACGAGGGAGGCAGAGGCAGGTGGATCTCTGTGAGTTCGAGACCAGCCTGGTCTACAAGAGCTGGTCCCAGGGCAGCCTCCGAAGCCACAGAGAACCCCTGTCTCAACAAAAAAAAAAAAAAAGAAAAAAAAAAAAAAAAAAAAAAAAAAAAAAAAAGAAAAAGAAAGAAAAGTACAGATATCTTTTGGAAGACTTGGTTCAGTACAACTCAGGGCCCATTTGGAGATGCCGGAGTAAAAGGCCTCCATTTCTCCAAAAAGCACTCAGCCCTCCCCTTTCTCTAAGAGTTGTCTAGCCAGCCTGCCTAGAACTCCTGTTCCGAAAATAACACCAAACGGCCATTTGTTGTTGCTGTTGCTGATGCGGAAGTGAGGATGGCTCTTTGCAGTGCTGACTCCTCGCACATACTAGACAAGCACCCTACCACACAATTATAATGCCAAAGGATTACCCACAATCTGCTACCTGTATTCTCCTGCCAAAAATGGCATGCTTACAGCACTAGTGTGGGCACAGCACAACCTTACATACCCTTATTTCTGCAGGTTTTAACCTGTACCCTTATTTCTGATTTTAACCCCTTCCCTGCCAATAGTCATTGGGTCCACACACATGAAATTTATGTCTTCCTTGACAATCAGAGTTTAGATGGATATTCCTCTCAAGTTCATCTCTTTATTTCTCTCTAGCTATTTCCATTCACACATAGAAACTTCCCTCTAGCTCTGTCTGGCCCTACATTCTCTTAGAGGCCTTGCTAAAGTTTCATTCAGGATGAAAGCTTCTCTGACTACCCTGCCCCCCAAAGACTTCTTCCTCTGTGCTATTGTCACCAACAATTCTTTATCAACCGACACCCTGCTTTCTTCTTTCTTTTGGCTCCCATGTGTTAACTGGACACTCTGGATGCTCTGAGGTAGGGACCCACTTAGATCTGTCCACCCTGAGCAGATGGCAAGGGAAGCACCTTGTTCCCTAGGAAGCCTCTGGCCAGATGCTGAGCCCTGATAGAACTTACAGCTGTGTATCTTCTGCATCGAGAGATGCTTCTCCAGGTTCCGCCTGAGCTTCACCTCATTGCCATACTTGCCCACAGTGCCATCATCACACAGGATGAAGTGAGAGTGCATGCAGTTGAGTGTGGTGAGCTTGCTGAGGGGGTTGTTATTCAGAGTCTGGTACATGCACACCACCTGAGAAACACAAGGACAAGAGGGCATCAGAGCTCAAAGTCCTTCTCCAGACTTCACTGATTCTAAACCTTGTCCCTGTATGCTAACAGAGCATCTATCTAGATTAAAAGTATTACTCACTGTCCAGGACTGTATTTCTCAGCAAGCTTATCTTGTTTTAAAATTTCCCATTTCTTATCGGTCAGATAAGGTTCTACATCAATATGCACTTTACAGTATGTGTGAAAAAGACAAGTTGAACAATACCCACACATACCCTACCCTATTCAACAGGATAAGCACTGGATCATGGGCTTAGATGTCATGGTAGTCGTATTACTAAAATGGTTCTAAATACTAATTCCTCTTTGGTACTTACCTTGTTTCTGACCATTAAAAGACAGTTCAGGGATGGGAATCATCAGTCCATAGACTACACCACGATCCAAAATATTATTCTAATATACCTCAGAAAAACATTTTGTCACTATTTTTCACATATTCCAAATGAAATAAAGGATAACAAAAAGCAGCGTGGCTTCAGGGTCTTTTTACATTTATGGACTCTCCCTGAAACTGCTCCACTTATTTCCAAGTGTAATCTCAGGCTAATTTTAACTCTGAGTAATTTCTGTCTCCCTTTTTCTCGTGTATAAGTAAGGATAATGATCATTCCAATGCCATAAGGTTTTTGTGAGACTTCAAAGAAATAACAGACTTTGGACTATAATATTCATTCCAATGCCATAAGGTTTTTGTGAGACTTCAAAGAAATAACAGACTTTGGACTTTAATGGATAACTTTATAACCCCACAGCATAATGCTGAGGCCAGAAACCAAAACCAAAGTCACTGGTAGGCTTACTACATGTTTTATATTTGTAGAAAGTGATGATAAATAATACAAAATAAAAACTGGGAGAAATGCTAAATGCTGACAATAATGTTGCAGGGCTGAATTATGATAGTGCACAAAAAATGTACAGAGATACTAAACCTCATAAACAATCAGAGAATGTATGCAATTCAGAAGAATTAGCTATTGTTCCCTGTCTATCAAAATGGTGATGGAGGAGTACATAAAAATGAACTCTATTAAACATTATTGGTAAAAATATAAAATTTCACCACTCTCTAGAAACCAGTGTGTCATTGTATACAACAACTGGCCCCAGTGATTCCTAGGGAAACAACCAATCTAGTACCAAAGATGTGTATCTTAATACAATATTAATATTATTGGCTGAAATTTTGAGAAACAGGAAACCACCTAACTGGACAATCACAAGGATAATTGGCTCAATTACAGTAAAACAGAATACTATTAGCCATGAAAAGTCATAACCCACAAATTGAAGCCTCACTAAAACCACAAAATATTTTGCTAGAGAGAAAAAAAAACATATACAATCATATTAAAAAAGCAAAAAAAAAAAGTCAAAATTGAAGCCTCACTAAAACCACAAAATATTTTGCTAGAGAGAAAAAAAGCATATACAATCATATTAAAAAGCAAAAAAAAAAAGTCGTGAGAGCAGATAGAATGTTTTTAAAATACTCAGGACACAGAAAGGCTCTGCTTGACAAAAATGATACATTTTAAACAAGAATCGGGATGAATAGATTGGAACACATCAAACAGCTTAAAATTCATGAGCTTAAAACAAAAAGTCATCTTTCACCTTTGAAGAATGATAGGTGAACATCTCAAGGCTCTGAAAACTTCCAAATAAAGTATCAGGTATTATTCTGTCCTTCCTGTATTCTCACGTACCATGAGATTAAACAGATGTTAATGAAAACGTTTCTCTTTACAGAGTGTCTAAGCTAATAAGTGTACAAATATTGCTACAATTAAATATCAATCCTAACCTATGTTGGTTAGTTTTTTTGTCAACTTGACACAAGAAAGAGTGATCTGAGAAGAGGAGGCTTCAGTTGAAAAATGCCTCCATCAGATTGATTTTTTAAATTTGATAATTGATGTAAAAGAGCTCATCCAACTGTGTGTGGTACCATCCCTGGGCAAATGGTCCTGTGGTGTATAAGAAAGCAAACTGAGCAAAAGGAGCAAGCCAGTATGCAGCATTCCTCCATGGTCTCTGCTTTAGTTCCTGTCTGATGGTGGACTGTAACCTGTAAGCCAAATATAGCATTTCCTCCCTAAGTTGCTTTTAGTCATAGTCTTTATCACAGCAATAACCTAGGACATAACACTGTTGAAATATGAATCTAGGAATGATTGCCAAAATTCATAAAATGGTAGATGTCAAATATTACATAAAAGAGTTACAACTCCTCTAAGGCATAAATTTGCACCCAAAAAAAATCTGAATGTGATCACACTTGTAGATGAAACTAGCAATCAACAAGAAAGATGAGACAAAAAACATGCTAGGCCTGCTTCAATAGGTTAAATCTGGAAAATCCAAACTGTGGGAAACTCTTTGTGGCAAATGGCTCAATTTCTTCAACAAATTGGAGGGGCAAAGAATGAATTATTAGTAGGTCAAAGAGGAAAATTAAAAATCAGAAGATGTACTGGTCTCTCACAATATATGAAACATTGTTGGTTAATAAAATCAAAAAATTTTTAAACTATATTGAATTTAGATTTTAAAGTCATTAAAGTAGAAGACTGTTTAGGCAGAGAAAGTATGGTAAGAGGAACAGAGGACAAGAGGGTAAAGGAGGACAGATATAAGCTAAATACATTACTTGCATTGTGAAGATGTCATAATGAAGTCCATTACTTTGTACAATGAATATAGACTAATCAAAATTTTTAAACTATGAAACAATGAAAAACTTGATAACATTAGAAAGCCAAGGTTACTTATGAATTACTGTTCATTTTTGGGCTTGTTAATAGTGTTGTAATGATATTTTCTTAAATTGCCTGTATATCTTAGAAATATGTTAATATAAGTCCTGAAACTCTAGAATAAATAAGCTACTAGAATAAAAAATATAGGAAGAACACTTTAGGATAAGGTAAGAGGAAGGCTTTCTGCCTAGATCTCCAGCCACTCGGGGAAAAGGACCAATGATTGACAAGTGGGACTTCATGAAATTTAGAGGTTTCTATGCAACAAAGAAGACTATTAATCAAATGAGGAGGCAGAATACAAAATGGGACAAAACTTTTACCACTTACACATCCTATTGAGGATTAATATCTGGAATATGGAAAGAATTCAGCAAACTAAACATCAAAAACCAAACAACCCAATCCAATATGAGTGAGGAACTGAACAAGGAATTTTAAAAAGAAGTACTGACTAACATAAATATTTTTAAAGTGCTCAATAGCCTTAGCCATCAGAGCAATGCAGACGAAAACTGCTTTGAGATTCCACCTCACTTCATTTAGAATGGCTATCATCAAGAAAATAAGTAACTACAAATGCTAGAAAATATATGGGGAAGAGGAATCCTTTTTCACTTCTAGTGTGAATGTAACAAGGGTAGTCACTATGGTAATCAATGTGGAAGTTGTTCAAAAAACTTTCTTTAAAAATAGAACTGCCATATAATCCAACAATACAACTTCTGGACATATGCCCAAAGGATTCTTATCACACAGGTACCTACACATCTACACGCATTGCTGCTCTAGTCGCAATATCTAGAAAATGGATTCAGCCTACTAGCCATCAATCGATAAAAGAATAATAAAACTGCCATGTGTGTACATAATGGACTTTTATTCACCTATGAATAAAAATGAAATTTGTGGGGAAATAGATGGATAGAAAAACAATTATACTAACTGACGTAACCCAGACCTAGAAAGACAAACACTGCATGTTCTTTTTCATTTGCAGATCCTAAACTCAAATTTTTGTGAGTTTTTTAAGGCTGAAAATAATGTTGTTTATTGAAATGTTGACACTAAGTCCATGTTCAAACACATAAAATTTCAGTTATAAATAACAAGTCCTAAGCACTTAAATAGCTCTTAGTATGAAAAAACTGAAGAATTATTTGCTGTACTTATGCTAACTAAAGAATTAAGTTGTTGTGGTTACCTGTGTGTTTTAGTTAACAAACCAGAGACACAAATCATTGAAGTTAAATGTCACATTCACAGAGCCATGGGAAACAATAGAGCTGTTTAGTGTGTGTGTGTGTGTGTGTGTGTGTGTGTGTGTGTGTGTTGGTAGTAGTAGTAATATTTTATAAATAGTACTCAGATCACATATTAATGGTCTATTTCTATATGGGATGTCCTTCTCTATATATGTTTCTCTTATTGGTTGATAAATAAAACACTGCTCGGCCAATAGAGGCAGGAAGATAGGTGGGATTAGGAGATGAGGAGAATTCTGGGAAAGGAAGGCAGAGGGCCTCCATAGAGCCACCAAAGGAGAAACAGGTCCAGACATTCTCCGGTAAGTCAAGACCACATGAAAATACTTAGATTAATAGAAATGGGTTAATTATTAAGACAGAGCTAGCTAGTAAGAAGCCTTAGCCATCAGCCAACAGTTTTTAGTTAATATAGTGTCCCTGTGTTTATTTGGGGTTAAAGTGGTTGTGGGACCTGCCGGGAAAGAAACTCCAGCAACACTTTCTGCATGTGATCATACTATATTTAGAAGGAGTTTGAGCAAAAACAAACCCTGTTTTAAGACAGGCTTTGTCATTAATTTTCTATAAGACCATGGATATTATATGACATACTACTAAAAGCAGGGAATCTGATAAGTATGTACAAGGTCATAAAAGCAAATATATCAACTTTAAGCATTGTAAGAGAAAGCATAAAAATAAAAGATGTTCAACTCTGGCTTTTATTTGTATATTGATTCAATTTGGGGGGGTTTCTTTGTTTAATCTGGAGTGAAACTCTATACAGGCAAGGAACCAAGAAAATGGACATGAGGTGAGCAAGGTGTAGCAGGGGATGGATACATGAACACATGTGATATGAAAGTAGAGGGGGGGGATTCTGGGGTGAAAGGGTTAACCTGGAATTAAGGAAGGAGAATAGAAAGAGGAGAGGAAACCTACTACTTTGTGAGTTGATTAAAAAGGGGAAATTTTTAAATACTTATTTTGAAGTATTTGATATCTGGAATATGATTCAAAATAATGAACACCACTATTTGGAAATAGGTAAAAGAATAAATGAAACAACATTGGACAACAAATTAATACCCGTCAAAGCTGAGAAGTGGTACACAAGAATTCATGGTTTGAGACTCAACATTTTTTAATGTGGGTTTTCCAAAATAAAAGTCAAGATAAACCAAGACCAGCCTACAGTAACTGACATGAAATAACTGTTAAATAATCAAACAACAAATATCAGATTCATAGTGTGAGATCCTGGCACGACTTTTTAAGAATAGACATTTTGGGACTGTGGCAATGACTCACATGGTAATGGACTTGCTGCACAAGGGTGGGGACCTATGTTCAGATCCCCAGTACCCACATCAAAAACCAGGCAGGGTGATATACATCTTCAACACTAGCACTGTGGGGACAGATGGGTAAATTCTGAGAGCTTAATGAACAGCCAGCCTAGCCAAACAACAAGTTCTGAGTTCAGCAAGTGACTCTCAAAAATAAAGGTGAAGAACAATAGAAAGTATTTATTGTTGACCTATGACCTCCACATACATACCCATGAGCAAATGCACATGTCCGCACGTGTACAGACTCATACACCATACATACAATGAGCATTTTAATTCTACATATATGCAAATATGTAACCAAATTCTAAAATGATATACCAAATGCTGTCAATAATTATCTCCTTATGTCTTTTTAATGCATTATATTTTTAACGACAAAAACACATGTACTTTATAAATAAGTTTAGGCAGTCAATTCCCTTTCAAAAGACAAAGATAGAAACAGACACAGGTCTGGGGAGATAGTTCAGGTGACAAAGAACCTATGAGGACCTGAATTCACTACCCAGAATGCACATTTTTTAAAAGGTAGGGCTGGGAGAGGTGGCACAAAAGCCAAGCATGGTGGTATATGTGTACATGTTTGCATCTTCTGCACTAGGGAGACAGAATTTGCAGATCCCTGGGGTTCACTGACTGGCCAGCCTAGCCTACTCAGTGAGGCCAGTGAGAGACCCTGTCTCAAAAGAAAGGCAATGGAGGATATAGGGCACCGGAGAAACAATACCAAGGATGTGTTCTGGCTTCCACACAATTCTACATACATCTGTCTGCACACACCACACCACACCACGCCACACCACACACACACATTCTTACATACATACACATTCTGACACACACATATTCTTATACACATACTCTTACACACACACAAAGAATCAACATGGGAATGAATGAAACAAAGCAGAGTATAAGCTCGAAGAAAACAAGTAGAAAGGGCCAACTTTACAGTGTGATTTATACTCCTTGTGAAACACAGTAAGGCTCTATACATTGGCTGTAGGATAGACCAACTGGCTGAAGGATAGACCCCCCTGAAGAATTTGACAAAAAGAATATCATGGTTTATTTATAAGAATTATTCTGTTGTTGCATTGAGGGTAGACTACAACAGAACACAAGAGTGAGAGAAAGGAAGATTCTTATAAGCATTTGGGTGTCAGAGCATGGCTGTTTGGATCTGCCTCAATGTCAGCAGAGGAAAAAAAGAAGTCAGACTCTGGTTATATTCTGAAGGTAGAGCTGAGAGTTTACTGACAGGTCAGGTTTGAGACATAACACAAAAGAGGTCACTCTAAACTTAACCCAGGGGTTTTTGGTTTAGGCAGTTGCAAGACAGAACTGGTATTTTATGAGATAGGGTGACAGATGTAATAGGCAGGCAGGTGCTGGTTTGGGATTTATTACATTCGAGGTGTCTTATCAGCTATTTGAGTACATTACAGAGCAGGCAGTCCAGAAACATTTCATTTCCCTTTGTTGTGAAAGGTGTGTCTACTCACATCTCTTCCAACCAGTTCTCTCTGGTTCTCAATCACACCCCAAGGAGGGATTCCAACTGTCCAGATTTTCCTCAAACACTTAGAGGAATGGGCTTTTAGGGCATCCCCAACATGCTTGGACACACCTATGAAACAACCAGAGTAGAAGTTAAATAACAGCTCACAGATCAAGCTAAACAATGACCCTCACAGACAAATCGATGATCATATGACATGAAAAATGTCATTCCTGAGGTAGGCTCCTAGTATAGGGAAATTGGATGCCAGCTTCTTGACTGTCTTTTTCCTCTCTTAACCTCTCTTTCTCTTACCACTGGACCAGGACCTGAATAATTCTCCTCTTCCTTGACCAATTTCTAACACAGTCACTACTCTTACCTGGCTGGAATGTTCCATGCACTGCTTGACATCATGAGTGTTCTAGTGTTCTCCAATGGACCAGTAAAATACCCTGCAGATTAACTCTGATGTAAAGGCTTGAGGTTCAGAGACCACTGTATGGGGAATGGGTTTTTGGTTTGGTTTGGTTTGGTTTGTCTTTCTCCCTAACATCACCACAGTTCCTGTGAGTGCTACAGAGTAGAGATTTGATAGCAGGCTGTTTGACTCATGGTTAGATGGGGGAAGGAGAGATGGAGGGATGGGGTCGGGCATGAGCTTTACCTGAGTTTATGCCTTCTGTAATTATCCATGCTCCTGTGGTCTCTGCAGCTTTGACCAGACCCTGGCTGAAGGTTTCTTTGAGGTTAGAGGACATCTTGAAGTTCTGGATACCCCCATGGACAGAGATCACAAGCTTTGGCAGTTCCATATTCCACTCTTTCAACATTAAATGCAACAGGTGATCCGATTGTGTATCCCAAGAAGTTCTAATGTACTGGAAGGACAGTACACACCCATGAAGAGAACACAGTGAAACATGCAAGTCAGTAAAGAAAATGAACACAGCCTGTGGGTGGCCACAGCCTAGCCGGAAGTATTCAGGGCCTCTCCAAAAGTGTAAATTCACCTAACAGAAATATTTTCTTTTAGAGGTTCCAAACTCCCTCCAACTTCCTTCTGGGAATTATTAATCACTATAGGTAGCTTCCTCTATTTGGAGGTTTGGTCTCCATGGTTCATTAAGAAGGCTGGAGGTGAGACAAAAACACTTCATCAGTAAAGCCACTGGCAGAGAGCTTCACAAAGGAGATGAAATATGGCTTTTCATAAATGTCATGACTTTGCATTTACTTGATCCTTTTCATATATTTGTATGCTCATGCTCAGGAGCATGAGCATCTATAGTATGTTATTAATTTACCTACCAATAATTTCTTTGCATACCACTATCCCTCTGAGAAAATTCTTTTGAAAATAAGTACACTGACCTCTGGGAGAGCCACTGAGTCTGATGTTACAAGGTATGACTGGCTACAGGACACTTAAGTTCTGCACAGTCAGGTGAGTTCGCCTTCCTCAGACAGAAGCCCAACCAACAGAAGGAGTAAGCCACAGTTATGAAAAGAAAGGCGGGCACTAGAAAACCATGAATTACATACAGATCTATGCCAAAAGAAAGTATGGGTGGAACTCTACATACAAGCTGATATAAATTGTTGCAATAGCCTCTAAAGTGATGACAACAAAGTAGTTTCCTATTCATCTTTGAACTTGTTAATTTAGGACCACTTCATTTCACAACTAAAATATTGGAATTCCTGATCATTGGTGCTGTACAGCTATCATAACACATATATAATAGGAAGCATAGAAAGAAAATCATAAATCCACATATGAGAGATGCCACTGAGCTGTCAGGCTTTACAGCACACTACAGCAGCAGGGTACAGGAGATGGTTTTGTTGCTGAGAGCAGTGGGTGAGGGCAAAGGTAGAACCTGGGTTCCATTCACCTGCCAGTGGCCCAACTCTTCTCTCAGGTGAGCCTGTCTTCAACTCTAAACCTTCCCCATACTAGAAGATACTGCTCTTTGGAGAAACATCTTCAAAGAACTAAGTCATTAGCACTGGCTTCTCCACCCAAAGGCCAACTGAACACCACTCTTCTATTTCCTTTGTAAACAACTCACTCCCCCAGACTGAACTTAATAGGCAGACTCTCGGGTCCTTTGTAGAATGAGGAGGGGGCAGGGAGGACTCTGGGAAGGAAACTGCAGCAGAGGGAAACAAAAGACAAGCTTTGGTGCAGCTCAACATGAGCCTGAAGGATAAGGAAGCCCAGGCTGTCCTCCTCTGCTGAGACATGTAGTAAAATGCGCTGATACAAAAGCTGTAATGACAGCTAAAAGCTGAGTCTAAAACCAGCGAGCTGTTGGGGCTGAAGAGATGGCTCAGTGGTTGCTGAGCTGCCTGATCTTCCAGAGGATAAAGGTTCCATTCCTAGGGCCCAGATGGAGAGTTACAACCATCTGTAACTCCAGTTCCAGGAGATCTGATGCCTTTTTCTCACCTCCTTAGGTGCCAGGCAGACATGTGGTACACAGACATGCATGCAGACAAAACATCCATACACATAAAATAAAAACAAATTTAAAGAAAAAAAAAAACAAGCTAGTTGTCAGGAGATGTGTCTAGCTATATTTTCAATTTTCCTGGCTGTTCTTTGACCTTTGTGCAAGCCAAGCGACTGGCTCATTGGGCCCATCCACCTTGTTCACCTTCAGATCTTAGCTTAACACATGAGCCTGTGTTCTCTACTTCGGAATGCCTACCTCATGGCGCCCTGTGTCCTCTCACTGAGACAGAAGGGGGTATCAGAGGAATGCCTACCTCATGGCGCCCTGTGTCCTCTCACTGAGACAGAAGGGGTTATCTTTTTCATTCTCTCAAAGAACAAGTACACTTGGTATCCTCCACTTTTGTGAGGAGTGTATATTAATTCCCTGTTGCCCTCCCCAAATGCCAAGCAATGTTAATACAAAATCCCTATCCTTTTTGGGCCATAGGGACAATATAGGCACACAATGAGTAATGAATGCACAATAAAGGTGGATAATAATGAATAAAATAATATCTGGAATCATGGTACAATAGTAGAGTCCTTGGCTTGCACATAGAAGGTCCTGGGTTCTATCCCCAGTACTGCAACAAACAAATAATAACTATGAGATAAGACAGACATGGAGCAGGGAAGTGATAAAGAACACTTGCTGTTCTTCCAGAGGACTCAAGGTCAGCTCTTAGCACCTACATTAAGTGGCTTACAACAACCTGTAACTCTATCCCCAGGGCTTCCAATGGCCTCTTCTGGCCTCCACCACATGTGTTACAGACACACACATACAAATAAATAACAAGTAAATAAAAAATGTCTTAAAAAAAAAACAGCAAGCCAGGTGGTAGTGGCACACACCTTTAATCCCAGCACTTGGGAGGCAGAAGCAGGCAGATTTATGTGAGTTCAAGGCCAGGCTGGTCTACAAAGTAAGTTTCAGGACAGCTGGGGCTGTTACACAGAGAAACCCTGTCTTGAAAAACCAAACCAAACCAAACCAAACCAACCCAAACAAATAAACAGCAAAAAGAGTGTCAAGCTTGAAGGAAAAATAGCACACAGGGCTCTCTAAGAATCAGGCTCAGAAAGGGATCAGAAAATGAGAGGGGATTTTTCTGCCAACTGAAATAGAAATAAGAATGTGTAGTTAAATGCAAGAGGATGGGTAACTGTATGTGTAGATTTCTCTAGAACTGCACTGCTGCTTTATTGAGTCTCCTGACAGTCACCTCCAGAGCATGACCGGCCCTCAGCTTTCCTGAGGCTGCTCCACTTGGGACATCAGGTGCTAAGAAAACAGAACTCGATTACTGCTCTCAGAAGATACACCTGAGGGACAGTTGACCTGTTAACAGTGTATGCTACCATTTGAGTCTGCCATGTCCCCAGAAGCATTATACTAAAGGCCTACTCACCAGCCTGTGGCATTAACAGGAGATGGTAGAAACTGTAGAAGGTGGGGCCCAACAGGAAGAAATGAGGTCACTGGGGGTGCACCCTGCAAGAATAGTGTGACCCTTGTCCCTATTCCCTGTTTCTTCCTGTCTGCTGTTAAGATCAGGCTGTGCCCTGTCCAAAGTCACTGCACATTGTGCAAAACCACCTTGCTGCAGTCTGCACCTTGCCCTGAGAGTTCCCACTTTACAAGCATTATTTGACTCCACTTTGCCTGAAAATGCAGACTCGGCACCTTGTTGGCCACATAAACAGCACCATCTCTCTGGCACCACCCACAAGGAACAGACTGATAAATAACCCTAAAATTTAAAAAGGTGCTACTCTATAAATTTATAAAGTTAACCAAGGCCATATGAGCACAGAGCTGTATTAAAGTCATTAAAGAAAACTAATTTTGAGAACTTATTAGAGATACCATACTGAAAAGAAAGGTATAACACTCTCACCTGGACCCCACAATGCAGAAACCACCTAGCAATAAAATGATAATGGACTATACTGATGTACCATCTGGCCACCCTCAGTGTATGCCCAGGGAACAAGCAGGGAGCTTGTAACTGCCCCAGGAGCTACAGCTCAGATCAGTCCCCACTGCTATAACCTACTTAGATCATCACCTGTTCACCCATCTAGACCTAGCCCTACACCTGAGATGCAGACAATGCCCCTTATACCAGCCAGATTTGACAATGGATCAATAATATGGATCCCTTTGCAATAAAGCCATGCCACATGACTCTCTCTCCTTAGAGGAATAGAAGTGGGGTTGGCTGCAGGGGAGACAAAAGAGGGAGGAAGGAGGGTGAGAGGGAGAAACTATGGTTGGGATGTAAAATGAAATTTAAAAGAATAAATATTTTTGAAAGTAAAAAAAAAAGAAAAGAAAAGAAGTACACTTGGAAGGTCTCTTCTGTTCAAAACTAGTGAAATAGTTTGGGTTATCTGCAGACCTTGGAGTGGTAGACATGTTCTCCATCTTGGAAATTAATGGTGCCAAAGGTATCTGTGGGGCTTTTCACTGTGTGCTTCTCAACAGACCACTGCTCATTTCCGTTGTCTTCAGCAGCTGAGAGGCTCCAAGCATGATCTAGCCCATGGTGGTCTTGAATCAGTCGGCCACAGTAACACCTAAATGCAGAAAAACAGTGACTCGGAATAGGAGACTGGTGCAATATTTCCAATCCTCAGACTGGTGTATAGATGACATGTAATAAATAACTCTTAAAAATTTGCATTCAGGCCGGGCGTGGGTGGTGCACGCCTTTAATCCCAGCACTTGGGAGGCAGTGGCAGGGAGATATCTGTGGGTTCGCGGGCCGCCCCGGCTACAGAGCAAGTTCCAGGACAGATTCCAAAGCAATACAGAGAAACCCTGTCTCAGGAAAAAAAAAAATCACATTCAGTCCACCAGACTTGGAGTAAGCACCTTTACCCAGTAAGCCATCTCACCAGTCCCTACTTTGCCTTCTTAACCCTGATATCCACTCTGCCAGCCATGTCATGAAAGAAGATCATAAGTAAGTGGGCTTTATATCTTCTCTCTCTGTTTTCTGTTGTTTCATTTATTCTTTTGGCTTTTTGAAAAGATGGAACCTTACCAGGATGCTCAGGCTACTCTTGAACTCCAAGTTCTGTATCCAAATGATGTTTCTGCCCCAGCCTCCAAAGTAGTTAGATCACAGGGCGTCATCAGATGTGACTCTACCTTACTTAAGTAAAAGTAGCTGAGAGTGAGGGAAACAAAAGCTTTTCTGTTGATAAATCACTTCAGAGTTCTTCATCAATTCTTTCCCTTCACTCTAGAACTCTTTATTTTATTAATAGAGTACTATATATTATATAATCTGTAAATAAGCATGCATATAATGTATATGCATGTGTGTGTATATTGGGATTCATAATGCAAAATGTTTAATGATGTAGTATAGAATAAAGCATGTGAAGTTCACTCTTTCAAAGAAAGAAATCTTTAGCATGGATCACAATATATGTATACTCATTTATAAACAATATTATACGCTCATATCAGTCCACATAGTAAATATTAGTCAAGATAGGAACGAAATTACAAATGCATCAAATTGTTCATTGTTTTTCAGTTCATAATTTTAAATGACTAAGGAAAACCTGCACATTTATCAATAAGGATGCAAATACATTGCTAAACACATAGCTCCTTTGGTAACGTGTTTGTCTCAGTGTGAAAGAAGCCCTGGGTTTGATCTCCAGCACCATAAAAATCAGGCATGGTGGTATATGCCAATAATTTCAGCACTACAAAGGTGGAGAAGGGAGAATCAGAAGTTCAAGCTTATGATTAGCCACATGACAAGTTTAAGGATAGCCTAAGCTACAAGAGACGCTGTTTTAAAAAGGAAGGCTGTAAGGCAAGTGTAGTGGTAGCCACCTACAATTTCAGCTACTAGTGAGACTGAGATCAGAGAGTTAGAAATCGGCGTCCACCTTGGGCAATTTAACAAGACTGCAAGACTCTGTGTCAATATTTAAAAAATAAAAAAATCAAGTAATATAAAAGTTAAAGTTAATACTGCTTAAACTCACAAACTTTAGCATATGGTCAAAATGAAGGAAGTTTTATTTTGCTCCACTGATGGAAAGGAAAGGTAAACCCACTTGCTGACACATACTTCAAAATGTGCATCACTGTTAAAATTCATACAGCACTACAAAGTTTACTTTATTGTGCAGCGTAGGTGTTTTGCCCATTTTATGCAAATACAACATGTGCAACTCATATTCAAATACCACATGGCATACGAAGCACAGAGCTACATTTTATACAAATACAGTGTGATAGCAAAATAAAATGTAGTGTTTCATACATGTTTTAGATGGTAAAAGCTCTTGTCGAATATCCCAAGATGTTTGCATGTCTCAGAACTCAGGACTTCTATTAGAGTCCAGCACCATGCTCAAGCAAGCAAGAAAAGAATGACCACACAGACACACACCATACGTACGTACACACACACACACACACACACACACTCCTTTTATACCTCCATCCTTTTCAGAGGAAATGGCAGGTACCTCCTGGGTCCATTCAACTTCTCAGAGTAGTCTGACACAACATCGTCACACTTCAATCAACAGAGCTGTTTCCTCCATCCAGCCCACTACAAGGATGTCCACTGTCCCCCTCACTATTCCATTGGTATTCTTCACAAAGCTTTGTGTTCCATGGAAGAGGACAACCTTCCTGGATAAAGGAGACTGTCCCTCAATCTAAGACTTACAAGGAGTTAAGCTCCCCTGCTAGAACCTCAAAAAAAAAAAAAAAAACCTCTGGAGATCTGAAGAAACTCTCCCAAGCACTTTTTGACATGCTACCTGAAAATGAAAAGAAGCTGATCTGACAAAAGTCTCACCTGACTAAATTCTGGCAGACTTGGCAGCCTTGAGTGCATCTGGGTTAAAGAAATAAAATCATTGTTAGTTTACCAATACATGTGGTAAGAACTTAATGCTTATCTAGTAAATATCATTATCCACAGTCTGAAAATTGGAATTTGCTAAATATTCATGTATCATTTACTTCCCATATTATCTCCTACGTATAATTATACTGCAGAAACAATGATAAAATTAATAAACCATGAACTATGAAACCAAAATACCTAGATTTGAATACCATTGATTAGGTGATTCTTCTAAGCTGCAGCTCTCACACTTAAAAAATAACTTCAAACACTTTATGACCCCTCATAAGGTGATACAAAGGATTATCTTAACTAATATATCTGAAGTAGTTCCTGCCACCTGGCCCATTGCAATATATGTAATAAAAATACACTAGTTACTTTTCTCACCCCTGTGACAAAATATCTGATAAAAGCAATCTAAGAAAAGAAGGAAGGACTTGTTGTGGCTCACAGTTTGAGGGGATACAGTCCATCAAGGTGGTAAGTCATGAAGATGGGAGTGTGAGGCAGCTAGCTGCTCACGCTGTGTCAGCAATCAGGCACCAGAGAGAGAAACACTGT